CCTCCTCCTCTCCTCATCCTCCTCTCCTCCTCCTCCTCCTCCTCCTCCTCCTCCTCCTCCTCCTCCTCGCCTCCTCCTCCTCGCCTCCTCCTCCTCCTCCTCCTCCTCCTCCTCCGGCGAGTGGCCCTGGCAGGGCCTGGCGCGCCGCGCTCTGCACCCCTCGGGGGGTTCGCACCCAGACATCTGGTGTCTCGAAAAAAGATCGAGACAAAGGTTTTTCGCCATTTTCGACCTCTCGGGGGAGGAGGGAGGAGGGAGGAGGGAGGAGGGAGGAGGAGGAGGGAGGAGGGAGGAGGGGGAGGAGGGAGGAGGGAGGGAGGAGGGAGGAGGAGGAGGAGGGGAGGAGGGAGGGAGGGAGCAGGAGGAGGAGGAGGGAGGAGGAGGAGGGGAGGAGGAGGAGGAGGAGGAGGAGGAGGAGGAGGAGGAGGAGGAGGAGGAGGTGAGAAACGGGTCCCAGGGAGGGTGGTCCAGAGGTCGGGGCCCGCGTCTCGGCAAAGGTCGAGACGCGCGCGGAACATCTGGGCAGAGGGGGGTTGTCCCAAGGTGGGGTTAGGGAACGAACCCAGCTGGATGCTCACATGGGTTAGCCCAAGGTGGGGTTATCCCAAGGTGGGGTTAGCCCAAGGTGGGGTTATCCTCCTCCTCCTCCTCCTCCTTTTCCTGCTCCTACGACCAGAGGCCCGGCGTCTGAAGGCGTCTCTCGGCTGGTCGGCAGAGCAGGGCGCGGCGATCTCGGGGCGGCCAAGGCCAGCTGCTCGGTCGTCATTTGCGCTGGTTGGCATTCACGCCAGAGCAGAACGTGCCCGGGTCTGCCCGGGCCCGCTCCCAAACACGCCCCGACACGCCCAGAGAACCCAGCTGGATGCTCACATGTCCTTCCTCCAGGAGCCGTTCAAAGCGACTTTCCTCCCAACCCACCTCCGCCCCTACCCCTCCTTTGCGTCCCCCCGAACCTTCATTATGTGCGCAGATCCAGTGCGGGTGTGCGCGCGCAACGTCGTCCGTCAGAGGAGGGGCAGGTACCCATACGGCTACCGTTCCATTGTTTCCCCTGTTCTTGGGCCTCCTGGGAGGCCCTCGTCGCCACCGCTGGATTCGCCTTGAAACACTGGAAACACTGATCAGAATGCACCCTGGGGAAGGTCCGGGGAGCGGCGGTGTCGGCACCTCTTGGTCTCTCCAGATTCACCGGCCATGAGCAGAATCCTGGAGATTACGTTGCATCTTCGGGGGACCTTGTCGAACTCGACGCGGGCTCGACGCGGATTTGGGATGGATTCGACGCGGATTTGACGTGGATTCGATGCGGGTTCGACGAGTCCAACATGGCTTCAACACGAATTCGACACGGACTCGACGCGGATAGTGTACTTTTGGGTTTCCCCAGTTCGTATTAACAGCGAGCACGTTGACGCCACATTCCAAGGCAAATTCGGAGCGCAGTTATTGGGCGACGAGATCTCTCTCTCTCTCTCTACATATCCCAGGGTGAGGAGGAGGAGGAGGAGGAGGAGGAGGAGGAGGAGGAAGAAAAGGAGGAGGTAGGAGGAGGCAGAGGAATAGGAGGAGAGAGGAGGAGGAGGAGGGGAGGAGGAGGAGGAGGATGGAAGGAGGAGGAGGAGGAGGAGAGGCGGAGGTGCGCGGCCTGCCGAACGCCGGAACGCCACCGCGTGCGACGTGCGGCAGCGGGGGGTGAAGACACAGGGCCCCAAATTGGCCTTGATTATGGGGCCACATTTTGGGCCAGGCATTTCTCTTTCGAGGGCGGTTTTCGGTCCCACCCCCCTTGGAGCCTCCCTCCTACGCCTCCTCCGTTCCCCTCCTCCTCCATCCGCCTCCTCCTCCCACTCCCCTACCCCTCATCTCATCCTCCTCTCCTCCTCCTCCTGCCTCCTCCTCCTCCTCCTCCTCATAAACTTACTCCTCCCTCCTCCTCCTCCTCCTCCTCCCCCCCCCCCTTGCCACGGCCCGAACCTTTCTAGCCCCTCGGAGCTCTGGTGAGTCGGCAAGCGCCAGCGCCCCCAGTCGGGCGCGTCCTCCTCGCGCGGCGGCGGCGTCCGGCAGCCCCGGCTCGGCCGCCGCCGCGCGGGCCGAGCAGCCCCCCCCCCTCCCCTGGCTGAGGGGGGCGCCCTCCAGCGCAGGCCGGCCTCCCGCGGGGGGTGCGCGCCGCGGTTGCTGATAGCTGGCTTGCCTGCCGCTTACCAATCGGCGTCGGCGTCGGCGTCGGCCGTCGGCCGTCGCGTCGGCGTCGGCGTTCGGTCGTAGTTCGTCGTCGTCGCGTCGTCGTCGTCGCCGTCGTCGTCTCGTCGCGGTCGTCGTCATAGGCGTCCTAGGCGTCATAGGCTCATCGGCGCGGCGCCGGCGTCGGCGTTTTTGTACGTCGGTGTCGTTCGTTGTCTTCGTCGTCGTCGTCGGCGGGCGTTGTTCGTGGAAGTCTTCTCTGTATATGTTATCTGCATCCGCGGGCCGGTATCTGTATATGTATCTGCATCTGCATATGTATCTTATCTGTATATGTATCTGTATCCGCATATCTGTATCTGTAAGTTATATCGATCTGTGTGAATTACTTACCTTATATATATAAATATATATTATATTGTATACACATATTATATATAATATAGTATATATATATATATGCATGGTATTACATACACAAGACGCAGTGGCGCTTCACGCCATGCACCTTGGTCCTTGAAGTTTGGTTTGCAGGCGGAATAGCAAGAAGGTCAAGCCGACAATTTAGCGATAACTCCTGGTTGCCTCTTCTGGCATCGCCGCTATAATAATGTTATCCGTTATCCTTCCTCCATGTTTCTTTTTCCTTATTTTCGCCATGCCCTGCGCATTCTCCCCATCCTCCTCAGCTCTTTTTTGCGGAGGCTCCTCCTTGGAGAGCCTCTAGGGGCCTCACAAAAGTTGTTTCAGGCTTTCTTAAGGCCTTCTGGAGACCTTCTGGGCGTATTCTGGGGGCCTCGGGGGGCTTCCTCGGGCCACCCTGCCTCCAACCACGGTCTCCCTGAACGACCGGGTCACGATTTGGAATGCTTCGGAAGGTGTCTTTGGGCCATCTTGGGCCGCCATGGGGCTCTCTGAGGGCCATCTTGGACCCGTGTTGTGCAGTTTTGGGGCTCTCTTGGACTGCCTGGAAGCCCTTTCGGATGGTTGTGGGGCGATTTGGGAGCCTCGCAGGCGGCTTCGGACGCCCAGAAGACCGCCGTCTTGGAGCGTCGCGAAGCCGAAAAGAGGAGAACTCCTAAATTCACCACAAACCATCAGAAAATTCATGATTTTTGCCTCTGGGGGCCTTCTTGGGAGTGCTCTTGGAGGCCTCTTTGGGGCCGTCCTGTAGGCCTCTTGGGCCATCTTGAGGTCACGTCGGTCACTCTTGGGGCACTCTTGTGCTGTCTTGGGGGTCTCTGGGACGTCTCCGATGACCCCCCTGATCGCCCGAGGTGTGCTGGGAAGGCTTGGCAAAACGCCCTGCGAGGCCCTGGTGCCGCTTCGAGGCCCGTCCGGAGGGTCCCAAAGCCCCAGATCCCGGGAGTCCGGTTTTGGGGGTGGGGGTGGGGGGTTTTCCCCCCGCCCGGGCTTATAAAAATATAGGACTCTCTCTTTCTCTCTCTCTCTCTCTCTCTATATATATATATATATTTATATAGATATAGATATAGATATGGGTACAGGGCCGGGGGCCTTCTCCCAGCTGCCTCGGGTCGCCATGGTGGCTCCAGGCTCCCTGGGGACCCTCTCCAGACCTCAGAGCCACACAGACGGCTCCAAGTGGTGCCACAGAGACACCAGAAGGTTTCATAACGTCCCGCGAGGCTTCCAGGCAACCCTGGATAGCTTCAAGACAGCCCAGGAGGATTCGACTTTCGCTCCCCTGAGGGCACCAAGAGGCAAAAACCATTGAGTTACTATGGTTTTTGTTCCGATGTTTCTGGGATTCTCGACTTTCGAACTTCCGACGTTCCACGAAGTCCCCAGAGGCCTCCAAGACCGCCCCGAGACGGCCCAAGAGACCCCCAAGACCGCCCCAAGACAGGCCAAGAGGGTCCCAAGACGGCCCCAAGAGGGGCCCAAGACGGTCCAAGAAGAGCCGCCCAGACGGCCTTAAGTGGCGTCACAGTGACACCAGAAGGCTGCGAGATGCCCCGTGGGGCTTCCGGGCAGCCTCTTTCGCTTCCCAGAGGGCCCCAAGAGGCAAACACTATTGATTCACCATGGGTTTTTCAATGTATTCGGATTCTCGACTTTCGAGCTTCCGACGTTCCACGACGTCCCCAGAGGCCTCCAAGACTGCCCCAAGACGGCCCTGGAGACCCCCAAGACCGCTCCAAGACGGGCCAAGATGGTGCCAAGACGGCCCCAAGAGGGGCCCAAGACGGCCCAAGAGGGCCCCATGATGGCCCCAAGAGGGGCCCACGAGCAGGAGACCGAAAGGAAAACTCTACCCTTCCTTCCCAAGATGCCCCCAGACGGCGCAAGAGGGCCCCAGGAGGCAAAAATCATTGATTACCTACAGATTTTCAACTCTTTCGGGCCTCTCGGCTTTCCCAGCTTCCGACGCCCCACGACGTCCCTAGAGGCCCCCAAGACCGTCCCGAGACGGACCGCCAAGAGGCCCCCAAGAGCGCTCAAAGACTGCCCAAAGGGGCCCCGAGCGGCCCTAGACGCGCCCAAGACGCCTCAAGACGGTCCCAAGAGGGGCCCGAGCGCAGGAGCCCGAAGCGATATTTCGAGTCTTCCGTCCCAGATGCCCCCAGACGGCCTTAGAGGACTCGAGCAGCGCTCCCCAGATGGCCGCAAGAGGCAAAAACAAATCATGTTCCTCGGGTGGTTTCGAAGGTCTCGGCTTTTCGAGCTTCCGGCGCTCCGCGACGTCTCAAGAGGCCCTTACGACCGCCCCGAGATGGCCCAAGAGGCCCCAACGAGGGTCCCAGGACGGCCCAAGAGAACCCCTACACGGCCCCAGACGCGCCCACTACACCCCAAGAGAGCTCTGAGACGGCCCGTACCCATTTTGGCTCAAGCCATTTGGGCTCAAGGTGAGATCTTTGTTTTCCCACATCGCAACTGAACATTCATTGCCACACTTCTTGGCTATCGTCGACTTAGCAATGGTACATGTACTGATCTCTGCGGCGACATTTGCGTTCGCTTACACTGTGGGCGCCGATATGCAGCTCATGCAGATGTCAGTGCATGGGCCGGACGGTTTAGAGGCGGCAACGTTACGGACTGATTTCACGGGCGTGTCTACAGTGACTTCCATGGTGCCCCACGTGAACGCCAGCCAGCAGAAAGGAGGACGACAAGTCGAGGCGGCTGACCACATGGTGAGAGAGGCCTCTTGGAGCCAGGTGGGGCAGGACATCGATGGCGAAGCCTCAGACGATACTAGTGGCTTGTCGGTGTCGCTGAGCAGCGACGGCAGCCGCGTGGCCATTGGAGCACGCTACAACGACGGTGCTGGGTCAAATTCTGGTCACGTTCGCGTCTACGGGCTCTCGGGCATCACTTGGAGCCAGGTGGGGCAGGACATCAATGGCGAAGCCTCAGACGATTATAGTGGCAGCTCGGTGTCGTTGAGCAGCGACGGCAGCCGCGTGGCCATTGGAGCATACGGCAACGACGGTGCTGGATCAAATTCTGGTCACGTTCGCGTCTTCGGGCTCTCGGGCAACACTTGGAGCCAGGTGGGGCAGGACATCGATGGCGAAGCCGAAAGCGATCTTAGTGGGTGGTCGGTGTCGCTGAGCAGTGACGGCAGCCGTGTGGCCATTGGAGCATACGGCAACGACGGTGCTGGATCAAGTTCTGGTCACGTTCGCGTCTTCGGGCTCTCGGGCAACACTTGGAGTCAGGTGGGGCAGGACATCGATGGCGAAGCCGGAGGCGATCTGAGTGGCACTTCGGTGTCGCTGAGCAGCGACGGCAGCCGTGTGGCCATTGGAGCACACGGCAACGACGGTGCTGGATCAAATTTTGGTCACGTTCGCGTCTTCGGGCTCTCGGGCAACACTTGGAGCCAGGTGGGGCAGGACATCGATGGCGAAGCCTCAGACGATTATAGTGGCTTCTCGGTGTCGCTGAGCAGCGACGGCAGCCGCGTGGCCATTGGAGCATACGGCAACGACGGTGCGGGGTCAGGTTCTGGTCACGTTCGCGTCTTCGGGCTCTCGGGCAACACTTGGAGCCAGGTGGGGCAGGACATCGATGGCGAAGCCATGGCCGATTTTAGTGGCCGGTCGGTGTCGCTGAGCAGCGACGGCAGCCGTGTGGCCATTGGAGCATACGGCAACGACGGTGCTGGATCAAACTCTGGTCACGTTCGCGTCTACGGGCTCTCGGGCAACACTTGGAGCCAGGTGGGGCAGGACATCGATGGCGAAGCCGGAGGCGATATGAGTGGCACTTCGGTGTCGCTGAGCAGCGACGGCAGCCGCGTGGTCATTGGAGCACACGGCAACGACGGTGCTGGATCAAGTTCTGGTCACGTTCGCGTCTTCGGCACCAGCACGCCAGCACCAACGCCGGCACCAACGCCGGCACCAACGCCGGCACCAACGCTCGCACCAACGCCGGCACCAACGCTCGCACCAACGCCGGCACCAACGCCGGCACCAACGCCGGCACCAACGCCGGCACCAACGCCGGCACCAACGCCGGCACCAACGCTCGCACCAACGCCCTCGCCGACGACGTCGTCGTCCTCCGCCACCGGCGACCCACACTTGCAGAACATGTTCGGTCAGCGGTTCGACTTGGTGAGGCCAGGCACGTCCGTCTTGGTCAGCGTTCCGCGCGGAACGTCCGCCGAGGATGCGCTGCTTGTTGTAAAGGCCGACGCGCATCGATTGGGGGCACACTGCTCGGACATGTACTTCCGGGAGGTCAACGCCACAGGGACGTGGGCGAACAAGGTGCGGCCTGGAGGCTTTCACTTCGACGCTCTTGACGCGCGTGACGAGACGCCGAAGTGGCTGAAACTCGGGCTTGTGGAACTCAAAGTCGGCAGCGGGCACACCGACAAGGGTCAGCCTTATCTGAACGTCTACGTCAAGAACCTTCAGCGCACTGGGTATCGTGTCGGAGGGCTGTTGGGAGAGGATGACCACACGGAGGCGGCGGCGCCCGAGGAAGGGTGCCAGAAGATGATGTCCCTCCAGGCGCGCGTGTATGGTCAAGCTTCGGATCTACAGGGATCCATCGCAATCGGCTACTGAGCCGGGGGCTCCCTGCTCCGCGCGGGGCGGTCTAGCCCGCCCGCCCGCCTGCAAGGGGCTGATGTTTCCCGGCGACTTTTTCGTCCTGCAACATCCAGTGCAGGGATTTCAGTGGTTCCACAGAAACATGCTGCGGGGCGACGGAAAGTAATAGTTTAACCAAAACACCCCGACGTCACGGTCGAGGTCAGGGGTGTGCCGCCATTGGCGGGAGGGCGGCATGCGCACGTTGGTTTTGGGAGTGTTGGTGGAGCTGCCACTGATGCTTCTCACTCCTCTTCGACAGACTTCTCACTAGTCGACTGTGATGAGCTTGTTCACTTTTCTCGAGAAAGCTTTTCGCGACAACTGCGACGCCGACTCGCGTTGCTGACCGTGCATCTTTCGCCACTTTTGCTCGCCACGGGCTCCCGACAGCGGCGACGGAACCCGCCATAAAAAAAAGAGAGCTCTGAGACGGCCCCAAGAAGGCCCTTGAATTTAATACAACTTTAACACGAACCGCGTCCTCGTCAAGGACGGTGTTGTGTTAAATGCGTATTAACTTCTTGGGGCTCGGGGGGCGCTGTGGGAGCTCCCTTGGCGCCCCTTTTGGGGCTCCTTGGAGGCCCTGTCTGAGCCTGTCGCGGTGCCTTTTGTGGGCCTCTCCGTGGTCCCGGCGTCCAGGTCCACCGGGGACCGTCGTTGGAAGCTGTGTGGCCCTCGTCGGTCCTCTCGAGGGCGTCCTGAGCCGTCTTGAAGCCCTCCTGGGAGTTTCTTGCAGGCCCGGGACAGCGGTGCCCTTGGCATCGCTCGGACGTGTGCTTTTTTCCTCCGGTGAGGACCATCGAGGAGCATCCTTGATCATTTGGCGAAAAAGCCACGCACGAAACCAAACAAAAACACAGGGAATAGACGTCCGAGCGATGGCAGGTGCCAGGGATGGCCCGGGACGGCCAACATCCGCGGGGGGGCAGGGCGCGCGGGAAGGGGAAGGAGAGACGAAGCCAATGGACCACGAAAGGCCGAAGGTAGGAGTCGGGAATTGACGAAAACGGAGAGTTAGGAGGAGCAGAAAGGGAGAGCCAAGGGAAGACGAGTGGGCGGAACAGCAGCTGAGTAGAGCTACGTGATCTCGTCCCCCGCCTCCTGCTTCCCCCCCATGACCACCCTCGATGTCGTTATATTCTCTGTCCTACCTCAGCCCGCCTCCCCTCTTCCTGCGCCTCCTTCTCTTCCTCTTGCAGATGGAGGCGGCGCTCGTGTTCCCGGGCCCCCTGCGGGGCTCCAGAGTGACCTTGCAGAGGGCAGCGCCCCGGTCCGAAGGCGCACGCTCCGAGCCTCCCAAGCAGGGCCCATCATAGTCGAGGCGAGAAGCACGGGAACCATGACCAGGATGTCGCGGTATTCCAGGGTGATCCTGGCCAGGATCGGTATTGGTGTATAGTTGGTGCCTTCCTATCAGACCCCATTTTCCTGCACCGTCCCTTGACCCGGATCGATCCGTGATGGTCCCGAGCCCCGAGGCTGGGCGAAAGCGCACAGTGCGAAACAAGTGCGACGCCCAGACCGCGGGGTCGTCCGAGATCTGGGTCCTGGGCCGAACAAGAATAGATGCAGTCGGAGGATCGCGCCGCGCCGCCGAAGCATCGCCGATGCGGCTCGACGTGGATCCCGATATTCTCCACGCCGACGGCGCCGATGCACCGCCGACGTCGCCGACGCATCGCCGATGCATCTGAGATGCATTGGCGATACGGCGCCATCCTCCGACCCCATCAACAACCGCGAACAATTGCAACCGGAACCCCTGACCCCGTCTTGCTGCTCCACTTTTCGAGCCAGATCGATATGTCAGGGTCCCGACCCCAGAACCCAGGCGACAATGCCCCGTCCTGATTTTTTCAATGCGGGGTCCCTGGAAGTCCCGACCCTTTCCCCAGGGCCAGCGTTTCACCCCGGGCCGCTCTTTGACGGTCTGGGGGCACGGCGAGGCCCCCCAGGGGCCGAAAACGGCCACACACCTCCTGCCCTGATTTTGCGACGACGCGAGCATGTCTGGGTCGGGGGTTGCTCAAGGGGCCCCCGGCCAAAGGTGCCCCCAGGTTTTCGCTCAATTTTGGAGCCCCTGGGGCCCTCTGGGCCTCGTGAGGGGCGCTCTGGAGGCGGGGGGGGGCCCCCGTGGAAATCCTGGGGGCACCTTCGGCCAGACGCCCCCAGATGCCCCGAGATGCCCCCAAACGGCCCAAGAGATCTCCATGAAGGGTCCCCAGATGGGCGCAAGAGGCAAGAACCTATGATATTCCGTAGGTTCTTCTGTGTCCTGGACGGTCTCGACTTTTCGAGCTTCCAGCGCTCAACTGGCCCCCAAGACCGCCCCCAAAACGACCCAAGAGGGCCCCGAGAGGGCCCTAAGAGTGCCCAGGAGAGACCCAAGACGGCCCTAGAGGCGCCCAAGACGCCCCAAGAGAGCTCCGAGACGGCCCCAAGTGGGCACCAAATTGAACACACATTTCACACAAACCGCTTCCTCGTGTGTCACATTTGTGTTGAATTGTTGGGACTCCTGGGGCCTCCCTGCGAGCTCCCTTGGCGCCCCTTTGGGCCCTCCCAGGCTATCAAAAGCTCTCGTGGGGGCCTGTGGGAGTTTCGGGAGAGCCCCAGGAGGTTTCTGGAGGCCCTTGGGGCGCCACAGATCTTCAGAGTCGGGAGGCCCGGGAAAAGCAAAACACGCCCCAGAACGTGCAATCGTCCGTTCACGTCCACAGACGACAACGACCGCCGCCACCGCCACCACCACCACCACCGCCACCACCACCACCAACACCGCCACCACCACCACCACCAACACCACCACCATCATCACCACCACCACCACCACCACCACCACCATCACCACCACCACCACCACCACCACCACCACCACCACCACCACCACCACCACCACCACCACCACCACCACCACCACCACCACCACCACCACCACTTCGACGACCACTTCGACGACCACCACGACGATCATCGCGACGGCGGCGGCGGCTCCTGCGGCGGCGGCGCCCGCTGGGGCGGCGGCGATGGCGACGGCCTGGCGGCCCAGAGCTTTGGGGCCCTCCTCGGCCACCGTGGCAGGCACGGCACTTGCGCACTCTGGGAAATACTCGGAATTTTCCGACACGTCGCATGTCGATCATCGCATGGCTCCGCGACCGCCCACAGAGCCCTAAGGCCCCCCAGCAGGGCCAGCACCTCCACCCAAGGGCGGCCCTTGCCTTGGGAACCTCTCCCTGGGTACTTTGGGTTTCGTGGATCAGCGCAAGTTTTATTGACAACGACTGCGCAGTCGGCTAGAACTTAAGCGCGCGCGTGTTTCTAAATTACATGTACAAGTGGCACGTGTGTGCCCAGGCTCATACAAAAAACTGAAGGTGCGTTTGAAGCAGGAGTGACATGAAACAGCGAAGTCGCACTCGAGCGCAAGTGGTGTTGCCACACCTTGCGATGTGTGTACCAGGGCCCCCCAGGAAGCCTCAGGAGGCCCGACTTGGATACCAGCAGAGGCTCCAGGAGGTCCCAGGATTGTGAGTGTTGTGTGTGTGTGTGTGTATGTGTGTGTGTGATGTGTGCTCTGTGTTGTGCGTGCTTTTTGTGCGTTGTAGGTGTTGTGTGTGTTATGTTTGTCTAGCGTGTGATGTGTTGGGCGTGATTTGTTTCTCTGTGTGTGCATGTAGTTCTGGGGCCCCAGGAGGCCCCAGGAGGCCCCAGGCGGCCTCAGGAGGCCCCAGGAGACCCCAGGAGGCTTCAGGAGGCCCTAAGAGGCTCCAGGAGGCCGCAGGAGGCCCCAGGAGGCCCCAGGAGGTTTCAGGAAACCCCCAGGAGGCTCCGAGGCGGGGTCTGGGGTACCAGAAGGTTCAGAAAGCCCCAGGAGGCCCCAGGAGGTTCCAGGAGGCCCCCAGGAGGCTTCGAGGCGGGGTCTGGGGTACCAGAGGGTACGTCGGGGCTCGATGTTGGGAGGATGTTTCAGGCGAAACCGCCATTCTCTGAGAAGCGGGGTCACAATTATTGAAATTACCATGTGTTTTTGACGGTTTTATGTTAACATGTTGAAATTCCCATGTGGACCCTGACGTCACGATCTGCGTGAGGGGTGCCACCGATTTTCAGAACGTCGAGGATGTCCCTAGCGAAACGGCTAGAACAATCGCGGACGCGGCGCCCCGCGTACGCATTAATCGCCTCTGTGCTCTACTCCCTCGGAGAGGTGCGTATGATAATATATATATGTATATATATATATATATATATATATATATATATGTACATATACACACGTATGTATCTCTAGATGTACGTGTATACCTGCATAATATCGAGAACGCCGGCGGCGCATCACCAGCCGCTCCCTGGGAGTTTGGCGACTGTGATTGCGCCTTGTGGAAGTCGTCTTGGGTGTTGCACGGGCAGATTGAATCTAGAATGTTTCTTTTGGCTTTCCTGGGGTCGCTCGGGCCCTCACTTGAGTTGTCGGAGGTGTCGAGAGCCGCTCCTCTTCAGAACGGGGTTTTCGCTTGAGACTTCCCCGAAATCTACGACCAGGAGCTTATATCCGTGCGCAGCAGCTATACTTACACAACTGAGGAGGGCGTTTATTATTATTATTATTATTATTATCATTGTTATTGTTATTGTCATTATACTACTACTACTACTACTACTACTACTACTACTACTACTACTACTACTACTACTACTACTACTACTACACTACTACTACTACTACGACTACTAACTACTACTACTACTACTACTACTACTACTACTACTACTACTACTACTACTACTACTACTACTACTACTACTACTACTACTACTTACTACTACTACTACTACTACTACTACTACTACTACTACTACTACTACTACTACTACTACTACTACTACTACTACTACTACTACTACTAACTACTACTACTACTACTACTTACTACTACTACTACTACTACTACTACTACTACTACTACTACTACTACTACTACTACTACTACTACTACTACTACTACTACTACTACTACTACTACTACTACTACTACTACTACTACTACTACTACTACTACTACTACTACTACTACTACTACTACTACTACTCGTACTATTATTCTTACTATTATCATTTTTCAAAACACGGAGCTCGCTGGCCACCTCGGGGAGCTGTGTCCTGACACCTCTTCGCGCTCCTGGCTCGTCGCTTGGAAGGTGCAGTGCAGCAGTGCAGTTCCTTCAAGCAAGAGGCGGGCCCTCGCCCGCACTGGCAGGCCCACAGCGGTGCCGGTCTCTCAGGTGGGGCGCCTCTGGCAGAGCAGGGCGAAGGAAGGCTTGCAGGGGCTTCCGGGGATGGGGCTTTTGGGGTGGTTCGCAGCGTCGCTGATGCATTTTGTGCTTGCTCTCGTCCTTCCTCCCTCCTC